CTGTTTCCATTGTTTCCCCATCTATTTGCCATGAAGTGATGGGACCAGATGCCATGATCTTAGTTTTCTGAATGATAAGACCCAGTCTCCCCCACAATCAGTCTCTCCCATCAGGGAGCTCCCATAAGCCTCGAATCCTTCTCCATCAGAGGGCAGACAAACTGGAAACCACAACCACAGGAAACTAATCAAACTGATCACCTGGATCCCAGCCTTGTCTAACTCAGTGAAGCTATGAACCATGTCATGGAGGACCACCCAAGACAGATGCGTCATGGTGGAGAGTTCTGACAAAATGTGATTCACTGGAGAAGGGAATGGCATACCACTTCAGGATTCTTGCCTTGAGAACCCCATGAACAGTATGAAAAGACAGAAAGATAGGACACTGAAAGATGAATGCCCCAGGTCAGCAGGTGCCCAATATGCTACAGGAGAAGAATGGAGAAATAACTCCAGAAAGAATGAAGAGCTGGAGCCTAAGCAAAAACAACACCCAGTTGTGGATGTGACTGTTGATGGAAGTAAAGTCTGATGCTATAAAGAGCAATGTTGCATAGGAACCTGGAATGTTAGGTCCATGAATCACGGTAAGGTGGAAGTGGTCAAACAAGAGATGACAAGAGTGAACATTGACATTTTAGGAATCAGAGAACTAAAATGGACTGGAATCGGTGAATTTAACTCAGATGACCATTATATCTACTGCTGTGGGCAAGAATCCCTTAGAAGAAATGGAGTATCCCTCAATAAAAGAATAAAAGAATCCAAAATACAGTACTTGGATGCAATCTCAAAAATGACAGAATGATCTCTGTTTGTTTCCAAGGCAAACCATTCAATATCACAGTAATTACTGCCCCAACCAGTAATGCTAAAGAATGAACAGTTCTATGAAGACCTACAAGACCTTCTAGAACTAGCACCCAAAAAAAGATGTCCTTTTTATCATAGGGGATTGGAATGCAAACGTAGGAAGGCAAGAGATATCCGGAGTAACAGGCAAATTTGGCCTTGGAGTACAGAATGAAGCAGGGCAAAGGCTCATAGAGTTTTGCCAAGAGAACACACTGGTCATAGCAAACACTGTCTTCCAACAACACAAGAGAATACTCTACACATGGACATCACCAGATGGTCAACACCGAAACAAGACTGATTACATTCTTTGCAGCTGAAGATGGAGAAGCTCTATACAGTCAGCAAAAATAAGACAGGGAGATGACTGTGGCTCAGATCATGAACTCCTTATTGCAAAATTCAGACTTAAATTGAAGAAAGTGGGGAAAACCACTAGACCACTCAGGTATGACCTAAATCAAATCCCTTATGATTATACAGTGGAAGTGAGAAATAGATTTAAGGGACTAGATCTGATAGACAGAGTGCCTGATGAACTATGGACAGAGGTTCATGACATTGTACAGGAGACAGGGATCAAGACCATCCCCAAGAAAAAGAAATGGAAAAAGGCAAAATGTCTGTCTGAGGAGGCCTTACAAATAGCTGTGAAAAGAAGAGAAGTGAAAAGCAAAGGAGAAAAGGAAAGCTATTCCCATCTGAATGCAGAGTTCCAAGGAATAACCAGGAGAGATTTTTAAAAAAGGCTTCCTCAGTGATCAGTGCAAAGAAATAGAGGAAAACAATAGAATGGGAAAGACTAGAAATCTCTTCCAGAAAATTAGAGATACCAAGGGAACATTTCAGGCAAAGATGGTCTCAATAAAGGACAGAAATGGTATGGACCTAACAGAAGCAGAAGATATTAAGAAGAGGTGCCAAGAATACACAGAAGAACTCTACAAAAATGATCTTCACAACCCAGAAAATCACCTAGAACCAGACATCCTGGAATGTGAAGTCAAGTGGGCCTTAAAAAGCATCACTATGAACAAAGCTAGTGGAGGTGATGGAATTCCAGTTGAGCTATTTCAAATCCTAAAAGATGATGCTGTGAAAGTGCTGCACTCAATATGGGAGCAATTTGGAAAACTCGGCAGTGGCCACAGGACTGGAAAAGGTCAGTTTTCATGCCAATCCCAAATAAAGGCAATGCCCCCAAATGCTCAAACTACTGCACAATTGCACTCATCTCACATGCTAGTAAAGTAATGCTCAAAATTCTCCAAGCCAGGCTTCAGCAATACGTGAACCGTGAACTTCCAGATGTTCAAGCTGGTTTTAGAAAAGGCAGAGGAACCAGAGATCAAATTGCAAACATACACTGGATCATCGAAAAAGCAAGAGAGTTCCAGAAAAACATCTATTTCTGCTTTACTGACTGTGCCAAAGCCTTTGACTGTGTGGATCACAATAAACTGTGGAAAATTCTTCAAGAGATGGGAATACCAGACCACCCGACCTGCCTCTTGAGAAACCTGTGTGCAAGTCAGGAAGCAACAGTTAGAACTGGACATGGAACAACAGACTGGTTCCAGATAGGAAAAGGAGTACATCAGGCTGTATATTGTCACCCTGCTTATTTAACTTATATACAGAGTACATCATGAGAAACGCTTGGCTGGATGAAGCACAAGCTGGAATCAAGATTTCTGGGAGAAATATCAATAACCTCAGATATGCAGTGGACACCACCCTATGGCAGAAAGTGAAGAAGAACTAAAGAGCCTCTTGATGAAAGTGAAAGAAGAGAGTGAACAAGTTGGCTTAAAGCTCAACATTCAGAAAACTAAGATCATGGCATCCAGTCCCATCACTTCATAGGAAATAGATGGGGAAACAGTGGCAATAGTGGCTGACTTTATTTTTGGGGCTCCAAAATCACTGCAGATGGTGACTGCAGCCATGAAATTAAAAGATGTTTACTCCTTGGAAGGAAAGTTATGACCAACCTAGACAGCATATGAAAAAGCAGAGACTTACTTTGCCAACAAAGGTCCATCTGGTCAAGGCTATGGTTTTTACAGTGGTCATGTATGGATGTGAGATTTGGACTGTGAAGAAAGCTGAGCGCTGAATAATTGATGCTTTTGGACTGTGGTGTTGGAGAAGACTCTTGAGAGTCCCTTGGACTGCAAGGAGACCCAACCAGTCCATCCTAAAGGACATCAGTCCTGGGTGTTCATTGGAAGGACTGCTGCTGAAGCTGAAACTCCAATACTTTGGCCACCTGATGCGAAGAGCCGTCTCTTGGAAAAGATCCTGATGCTGGGAGGGATTGAGAGCAAAAGGAGCAGGAGGTGGCAGAGGACAAGATGGTTGGATGGCATCACTGACTCAATGGGCATGAGTTGGTCCAACCCCAGAGATAGAGGGGAGGACAGAGGAGCTTGGCGTGCTGCCGTCTATGGGTCGCAGAGTGGGAGGCAACACAGCAACGGAACCACAGCCACAAGCCCCAGAATGTGACCTTTAAGGTTCTTGCGTTCGGAAAAGTATTCCTTTGTGGTCACACGTGGTGTCTGTTTTTGTAAACATTTCACAAACCTAAGGGAGAGGCTACTTTAAGTGTGAGGGATGCTGGATTCTACATAGATATTGTATCAGCTTTACTGACTCTATTATCTAATTCCTGTATCCTAACTGGTGCTCTTATTTAATTCCTGGATCCTATCTGGTGAATTAGAATGCTGAAGAGTGAACACAGGAGTGCCAAGGCCACCCATTACTGCTGTGTTTGCCTGAAATTCTCCCAGTATTTATTATCTCCTCAGTATGTCACTTGCTGGCCACATATTCCTAACACACCATTAATTTCGCCTTTTACATTACATAGTATTCCTCTTAATTCGACACACTTGACCCCAAACACCGCCTCATCTGAGGTCAACTGCAGCTTCCGCTTTTTGTTCTCCTTCCTCTGTTTCCTGGGCCCTCATCTCTATGTCCAACTTTCGTCACCCTGTTATGGTAGACAGAGTGGAGCTGGGTTTAGTTTATTTCTCAGCCCCGCTTAGCTGCCTCTCCTTTGGTGGGAAAGCTCAGTCCACACGAGAGCATCCTTGGTTCTGCTCCCTGCAGCTTCGTGTCCGTCCCTCATCACGCACGGACCGCTCCTGCCCACCCGATCCCCATGTCCTGGTCTGCTCAGGGTGTGGCCCCCGCTCCCCCACTCCCCCGCTCCCTTTTGTCTGCAAGTCCTCACTCAGGGACCCCTCCCTTCCACGGTCCCCGTGCCCATGGCCATTCCTTGAAGACGTGTCCGAGTACTTCCCACGCCGAGAGGTTTCCTCCCCGTCTCCCTGACACAGCAACCACGCCCCGGGAGACGGGTGGAATGCTGGCTCCGATGATCGGATCCCTTCTTCTAAACAGAATAACTCTGAACACAGAGTGGGCCGAAGGGGAGACAGAATAGAAGCCACAGATAGAGGCTGGGTGAGGAAGTCACGCAGTCAGAGACGCTGGAGGCCATTGCGATGGTGACACACGACGGATTCACAGATGTGTCTTGGAAATCAAATTCTAACTGAAAAAAATAAAGTAGTTCAGCCACCACCTGTAAACTGCTCCATCCCAGGCTCTTCCCGCCAGGAGACACCCTCCTGACCTCCAGACACCTTGCGGCTTTTTCCTTTTTACAGTTTTTGTTTACTTATTCTTGGCCGTGCTGGGTCTTCATTTCTGTACGTGTGCTCTCTCTAGTTGCGGCGAGCGGGTCTCCTCTCTATTGCGGAGCATGGGCTCTAGCGTGTGCGGGCTTCAGAAGCTGTGGCGTGAAGGCTTGGTTGCCTCACGGCATGTGGGATCTTCCCAGACCAGGGATTGAGCCTGTGTCCCCTTCATTAGCAGGCAGACTCTTATCCACTGGGCCACCAGGGAAGCCCCTCACAGCTTCTTGCACATCTTTGTTCAATGACCCCTGGATGCTCTAAGCACCAATCCAGATTCTCCCCCACCGCACCAAATCTGTTATGTTCCTGGCAAAGGACGTCACCACGGACCCGACTCTCTAACCTGAACCCTAGCGGTCACTGCAGGACGCTGCTCATCACTCACACATCAAGCCTACCTCCTCCAGGTTCTGAAAATCCATTCCCTCACTCCCCAACTCCACTGTCCACCTCTCCCGTGGACGGCCTCCTCCTCACGCCCAAGCAGCTGTTCTCCTCATCCTCGGTCACTTCCTCTTCTGCTGCTATCCACCCCCATCTACTCATCACCCTGCAGCCGGGAGAGGCCGGAGAGTTCAGAGCGGACCACGCACCGCCCTGCTTCAGCCCTCGGCGGCACCACCTTCAGTATAACACCCCACGCTCCACTGTGTGCCGGCATTATCTCAGACAAACCCTGACCGAAACCAGCCTACCTAGCCAGCAGAGCCTGTGAGACTCCTGGACGGTGTCACGGAGCCCAGAGGCAGGACCGGGGCCAGAACCAGGCACTCAGATGTCCGCCAAGCCCCCCGGCCCCTCCCAGCCCTGCCTGTCTGGACACAGCAGCTTCAGCCACCACTCCAGCCACAGGCCTCCTGGTTTCTGCGTGGCCTGAGGCTGTAATCTCCAGCGTAAAACCCCGAAGGACCCCGCGGTCCGGTGACGGCAGGGGCCCACCTCGGACCCACAGGGCCCCCCTCACGGCTGGCCTGGGAGGAGCAGCGATGCTCGGAATCGGGCGTTCAGTGTCGGCGGCTCTCAGAGCAGGGTCGTGCGGGGCGGGGGAGGCGGCGCTGCAGGGCAGACAGGCCGTGAACCGCTCTCTGCCCATCAGAACCCGCCCGAGCATCCCCTGCCTGCTGTCCCCCAGCCGAGCCTTCCTGAGTCGTCCGCCTTCCACCGTGCATCTGTCGTGACCGTCTTCACGCAGGGCCTCAAAAAGGCTGCCGCTGCCCCTCGAGTCCACTGTCCTCCGCGGACCCTTCCCCTGCCCTCCAGCTCCGCTGCTGAGTCTGCGGGAAGTCCCTGCGCCCCCCCACGCCCCCCGCACCAGGGCCCCGGCAGCCCCACGAGAGGGCAGAGCGCGCTCCTTCTGAGCCCTGGGTCTCCTCGCTGCCACACGAGCTCCGGGCAGAAAGCCTCCTGACCTCGCTCCCCAGCGCCTGGGCCGGCCGCGAGGAGGCCGTCAACGGCTTAGAAGGTTGCCTTTTTCTGCGGCGGTTTCCGTTCACAGCAACTTCTTTCTTCGCCTCTAAGAGCTGCGGTGGTTCACGACTCCGTTTTATATTTAACTAAAGGCTCTTAATCTGAGCACAGCACGAGGACATCTCCATGGCAACACGCCCTAGGACCGAGGAGGTGACCTTACTGGCGGCCTCAAGACCCCGCGCGGGTCCGGCCAGTGGGTCTCCCTGCCGCAGAGCCTGGACGCGGAGGCAGGCCGACTGGCGTGCGCCCCTGGCTTCCAGCCCCTAAACGGGCCTCCTGATCCCCTAAACCCGAGGGCCGTCCCTCAGCCTCCTGACCCTCCCCAGACTGTGATGGGTTCTATTCAAATCGCATTTGAATACCAAGTAGGTGCCAGGTCTTTCAGATTTAGAAATTAATAAAATAGAGATTCTACTCTTAAGAGATCTGTAATACAGTGTGAAAAGCCTTCTCTTAGCATTCACTACGGGGCTGGGTCATTCGACCCTAAACCCTCAAAAGGCAACCCAAAAGTGCTTGTGGAATAAGTGAACTGTTTAATTCTGAGAGCAAAACCAGATGCCCGGAGGGACAGGGAAACGGGGCACTTCCTTCTGTCCAGACACCTGCGGACAGCATCACAGCACAAGGGACGCCCTGGGGGGCGTTTACCAAGGGGCAGCAGGCCGTCCAAGCGGAGGGAACAGCGTGCGCAGAGAATGTCCAGGGAGATGAAATGTCCAGGACACAATGAGAAATAGCCCCACAGGATGGGGACCCCAGCTGCAAGGCTGCCTGGAGACACCACAGCCAAAGGCATGTTCAGGCTGGACTGGGGGTGGCTGAGCAGCCGTGACGTGCAGGTCACAAGGTGGACCCGCTGCCGAGGGGAAGGAAACGTCCCCCACCACCTGCCACCATCCTGACAATGTGTCAATCTAAATACATTTGCATTATGTCAACAGTGCAATTTTTCACTGAAAAAGCATTTTCGGGAATGAATTTCACCAAATCTATGTAACCCCGTGCTCAGTTTTCTAAACAAAGTAGTTTTGTTTTCATTTCTGCTTTTTCCCCCCTCCCAAAAGATTCTCACTAGGGTTAACTCTCTTGCAGGGAGTGTTTGGGGAGGTGCATCTGTCTACAGTTTTATCAGAGCTTCCGACACTGGGGGTTTCCTCTGGAGCCATTTTTCCCACATTAAATTTTGTAAATGTCAGTCACTCAGTCATGTCTGATTCTTTGCGACCCCATGGACGGTAGCCTGCCAGGCTCCTCTGTCCATGGGATTTCCCAGACAAGAATACTGGAGTGGGTTGCCATTTCCTCCTCCAGGGGATCTTTCCAACCCAGGGATCGATCCTGGGCCTCCCACATTGCAGGCAGATTTTTTACCGATCTGAGCCACCAGGGAAGGCCAATATTGTACAAAGATGACTCCGTTCTCATCCCCTTTAATATTTCATTATTACTGTCAGTATTATTATCATGTGGCTGCTCTGGGTCTTCATCGCAGTACGTGGGCTCCTTGCTGGAGCACAGTCTCTCCTTGCCCCGCTCAGACTTAGTTGTTACCCATGGCTTGTGGGACCTCAGTTCCCCGACCAGGGGTCGAACCCGTAACTTCTGCACTGGAAGGATTCTTAAGCACTGGACGACCAGGGAGGTCCCTATCCACTTTTAGACAGTAATAACTGCCATTCTTGAGTTTTTCTTTGACTACTAATGCTATTTAGAAATGTGTTGTTTAATCTCCAAATATTGTGGGATTTTCTAGCTATCTGTTTGTGACTTCTAGTTTAGTGCTCTGAGAGCATAATTTACGTTCTATTAAATGGATTAAGGTGTGTTTTATGTCTCATAGTCTGCATAGCTATTGCAGCAAGACAAGAAGAGTAAATAAATGCATACAGTTTGGGAAGGAAGAAATAAAACTCCATTTGTTCACAGATGATGTGGTTATCAGTAAAGAAAATCCCAAAGAATCACTTAAACAACTGAAACTAGTAAGTGATTATAGTGAGGCTGCAGGATTCAAGATCAACATATAAAAGTCAGCTGCTTTTGGGACTTCCCTGGAGGTCAAGTGCTTAAGCCTTTGCCTTCCAATGCAGGGGGTACAGTTTCGATCCCTAGTTGGGAAAGTAATATCTGATATGCCTTGGGGCCAAAAAACCAAAACATAAAACAGAAGCAGTGTCCTAACAAATTCAATGATGACTTTAAAAAATGGGTCTGATTAAAAAAAAAACTTTAAAAGTCCAGTGGTTTCCAGTATCCAACACTGAACAAGAGGAATTTGATATTTAAAACACAGTATCTTTTGCATTAGCACCAAAGAAAAGGAGAATAAGTATTTCATAACAGATCGAACAAAACATGTACGTGACCCAGCAGAAAAGTACACAACTCTTATGTAAGAAACCAGAGAAGATCTAAATAAATGGAGAGATATTTCATGTTCATAGATTCGTTGTTCAGTTGCTCAGTCGTGTCTGACTCTTTGCGACCCCATGGACTGCAGCACACCAGGCCTCCCTGTCCTTCACCATCTCCTGGAGCTTGCTCAAACTCATGTCCATTGAATCTGTGATGCCATCCAACCATCTCGTCCTCTGTCCTCCCCTTCTCCTGCCTTAAACCTTTCCCAGCATCAGGGTCTTTTCCAATGAGTCAGCTCTTCGCATCAGGTGGCCAACATAGTGGAGCTTCAGCTTCAGTATCAGTCCTTCCAATGAACACCAGGACTGATCTCCTTTAGGATGGACTGGTTGGATCTCCTTGCAGTCCAAGGGACTCTCAAGAGTCTTCTCCAACACCACAGTTCAAAAGCATCAATTCTTTGGCGCTCAGCTTTCTTTATGGTCCAACTCTCACATCCATACATGACCACTGGAAAAAACCATAGCTTTGATTAGACAGACCTTTGTCGGCAAAGTGATGTCTCTAACCTTGTTCATGGATGGGAAGACTTAATATTGTTAAGATGTCAGCTCTCTCCAACATGATCTACAGATTCAACACAATCCCAACCAAAATCCCAGCAAGTCATTATATGGATATCAACAAACTGACTTTAAAGTTCGTATTATGCTGTATCATACAGGTGTACAAGCATATTCACTGCAATGCTGTATTTAATAGTAGGACTACTAAATATTTAAATACCTGGTGTGGAAAGGTAGTCAATTATGAAAAATCAACAAAATTCTATCCCACAAAGCGGTTAAGAAGCATGAGATAACTCCTTATGTAGTGATCTAGAAATACGATCCACAATAAAAATTTAGGGAAAAAATTAAGGCATAGATCAGAGTATGCAGGACACAGCCAGGTGGGAGAACTGACCCGGGGCCTGCGTGCACGGAGAGACAGCCTCTGGAAGGGAGCAGACAGTGTGTCTGGATTAGCCTTCTGTGGCTGCAACAAGTTATCACAAACGGGGATTTGGGGGGGCTTGGCACGGCAGAAGTGGATGGCCTCTGCTTCTGGAGGCCAGGAGTGTGGGATCAGGGGGCCGGCAGGGCTTTGCCCCGCCTGAAGTGCTCGGGGAGGGTCCCCGCCGCCTCCGCCTCTGGGGGCTCAGGGTACGCCTTGTCTGCTGTCTGCCCCGCCATCCTCACACGGGCTCTTTCTTCCGTGGCCTCTCTGTGTCTCCTAAAAGGATGCTGGTTACTGGCTTCAGAGCCTACCCTCAATCCAGGTCTGACTTCTCATCTCGAGATCCTTCATCAGACCTGCAAAGACTCTCTCTCCAGATAAGGTCACATGACAGAGGCCCCAGGGGTTAAGGTGTGGACACAGACGCTGCAGCCATCACTCACCCCCACACAGTGGAGTCCGAAGAACTCTCCTCTGATTTTTCGAATCCAACCCCCTTCCCTGTGACCACTGTTCTTCGGCACATGCCCCCGGCTGGCCACCTGCTCTCAGCACGGGTGTCTCTCGCTGGGTGAGTGTCCTTTCCTGCAGTGGCCTGCCCCGTGCCCAGTAGCACAGGTCTCTCTCCCTGGGTGAGACTGCTTTCCTGCAGTGGCCTGCCCCGTGCCCCGTAGCACCGGTCTCTCGCTGGGTGAGAGTCCTTTCCTGCAGTGGCCTGCCCCGTGCCCCGTAGCACTGGTCTCTCGCTGGGTGAGAGTGCTTTCCTGCAGTGGCCTGCCCCGTGCCCCGTAGCACCGGTCTCTCGCTGGGTGAGAGTGCTTTCCTGCAGTGGCCTGCCCCATTCCCCGTAGAACGGGTCCCTCGCTGGGTGAGAGTCCTTTCCTGCAGTGGCCTGCCCCGTGCCCCGTAGCACCGGTCTCTCGCTGGGTGAGAGTGCTTTCCTGCAGTGGCCTGCCCTGTGCCCCGTAGCACCGGTCTCTCGCTGGGTGAGACTGCTTTCCTGCAGTGGCCTGCCCCGTGCCCCGTAGCACCGGTCTCTCGCTGGGTGAGAGTGCTTTCCTGCAGTGGCCTACCCCGTGCCCCGTAGCACCGGTCTCTCGCTGGGTGAGAGTGCTTTCCTGCAGTGGCCTACCCCGTGCCCCGTAGCACCGGTCTCTCGCTGGGTGAGAGTGCTTTCCTGCAGTGGCCTGCCCCGTGCCCCGTAGCACGGGTCTCTCCCCGGGTGAGACTGCTCTCCTGCAGTGGCCTGCCCCGTGCCCCGTGCCTGCTGCAGCAGCCAGGATGGTCGTTCTCAAGAGTCCGCTCAGGTGTGACGTCACTGCCCAAGCCCCTCTGAGAGCCCCCACCCCACGCAGAATGAAAGGCGAACTCGCCTGTGGCCTCGGCTCATAAGTGTCCTTGCCCCGCCTCCGGCTCGCTCTCCAAATACTCCGAGCCTGTGCTCCCTCATCTCCTCTGCCCAGAATTCCTCCTCCCCACACAGCCTCAGGTCAGATCTCTATCTGCCGTCCCCTCACTACAAAGCTTTCCCTGACGCTGTCATTTCCCTGCACCCGCCCTCCATCGCCAGGTCAGCAAACCACAACCCACGATCTGACGCTGGTTCATATAATAACGCTTTGCTGGAACTCAGCCTCGCTGACTCATCGAAGCATCACCTGTGATTGCTTCTGAGCGATGGATGCAGAGCTGCCGAGCAGCACAGACACCTCACGGCCCCCGAGCCCGGGACGCGGACCACCGGGCCGGCCCCTTCCCGGGAGAGCAGCCCGCCGCGGCCTGCCCCGTGGGCTCTCACTGCTGCCGGCCTGGCTGTGCCTCCTGCCTCCATCCCCCAGGGCCAGCTCTGGGAGGTCGTCAAAGTCCCGGAGCAACAGCACTGTTGACAAACCCCCACAGGAGGACGGTGCAGGCAGAGGCCACGGCCGCCTCTGGGGACAGCTGGGTGCTGGTGGGGAGACGGCGGACTCTGCTACCCACCCTCTAACACCCCTTCATCTCACACCAGGGGCATGCATGACTAAGAACATAAAAAACTTTTAAAATGTCAGTAGAGAATTATTCACACGAAAAGCATGGCAGTTACCTTCTAAATCAAAGTTATATGGAAAGACAGGCGATCAGATACACTACCTGGTCTTTGAGAAAACAGCAGGTACAAAGTTAATGTGCTGAAGACCAACGACTAATTTAACCAGCAACATAGATGCCTGGGTTGGGCTGGGAAAACGAGGTGCGGAAGGGTGGAAAGAGCCCCACCTCCATCTGTTACAGCAGCGAGCAGTTAACCACTAAGGTGAAATGATGCAAAAGCGTAATTTACTCAATAAAATACTTATTAAGATAGAGGCAATTGCAGAAAAGAGAAAAAAAAAACAGCTCAAGAGTTAGAACTGTTTTTTTGAGGGCCAGAACCACAGAAATCAAAAAACTAGATTTTTTTAAATTTATTTGGCTGCACTGGGTCTCGGTTGTGAACTGCAGGATCTTAGTTCCCTGCCCGGGGGGTCCAACCCAGGCCCCCTGCATTGGGGGCAGTCTTCACCACTGGACCGCCAGGGAAGTCCCCCTGCTCCTTTTTTTTTTAACACAAGCCTTTTGGTACTACTTAATTTTTTTAACCACTCACAGAACGGGTACTCAAAGGCTAACAAGCAGGAAGCGCGCCTGCAGCCCAGGCCCGGCCCGCCCCGCGCGCCTGCTCCCTCTGCGGCTGGCCGGCCACTCCCACCCGGCGGCGGGCAGCGCTAACCCTTACAGCTGAGGAAGGCCGGTGTGCTGCTGGCGGGAAGCGCGCTCCCCAGAAACCTGCAGGGGGTGCTTTTGCTCAGGGCTGCCCCGACGCAGCCGAACAAGACTGGACGCCGGGGACGCGGGGGGGACACTCAGACAGTCGAGACAGACACAGCCACGCGGCCCGGCACAAGCGCGTCTGCAGGCTTCCCGGCTGCTGGCCCGGCTGACCCACGGAGGCCCAGGGCAGCGCCAGGCCAGGCCCCAGTTTACAGAAGTCCTCCCCGCGCCGAGGCGGAGTGGTTTCCAAGTCCCCCACATGAGCACCTAGTCACAACCCCACCGGCGGACCAAACCCCAGCGCTTCTCGTGTTTTCTCACCGGCCGCAAGCTGTCTCCTTGGAAGCCCCACTCAGGAGGACCGTTTCTCCTACCCGCCCACTGGCCGTCCAGACCTTCCCTCCAGCTGGTCACACCTGTGTGGGAGCTAACTCATCTCGCTGGCTGCTGCATTTACAGTGGCTCTGCCTTGCTGCTGAAACCCTGTCTCATAAAAGTTACGGCAAACTGAAGGGGAAACAATGGAAACAGTGACAGACTTTATTTTGGGGGCTCTAAAATCACTGCAGATGATGACTGCAGCCATGAAATTACAAGACGCTTGCTCCTTGGAAGAAAAGTTATGACCAAGCTAGACAGCATATTAAAGAGCAGAGACATTACTTTGCAACAAAGGTCTGTCAAGTCAAGGCTATGGTTTTTCCAGTGGTCAGGTATGGATGTGAGAGTTGGACTATAAACAAAGCTGAGCGCCGAAGAATTGATGCTTTTGAACTGTGGTGTTGGAGAAGACTCTTGAGAGTCCCTTGGACTGCAAGGAGATCCAACCAGTCAATTCTAAAGGAAATCAACACTGAACATTCATTAGAAGAACTGATGCTGAAGCTGAAGCTCCAATACTTCGGCAATCTGATGTGAAAAACTGACTCAGTGGAAAAGACCCTGATGCTGGGCAGGAGGAGAAGGGGACGACAGATGAGATGGTTGAATGGCATCAGCGACTCAATGGACATGAGTTTGAGCAAGCTCAGGGAGTTGGTAATGGACAGGGAGGCCTGGCGTGCTGCAGTCCATGGAGTCGCAAAGAGTCAAACATGACTGAGCGACTGAACTGAACACCCCTTTATCAGTTTTAGAAATCTGGATTTTTTTTTTTAAGAACAAAATATATTTTAATCTCCTCTGACTAAAAACTGTCAGAAACAAACTCAGTCTAATACTTTTATTGTTTTAACACAGATATGCTAGTAACCAGGTGATCTCATTTCCAAAATGTGGACTAAGAATTGTAACTTAAGGAAAAACCTGAGATATACAAAACGGAAGTATTTTTACCAAAATGAGATATTTTCCCTCATGGAAAAAAGTTAGAAAAGGTCACATGGTTTTGGGAAAAAGCACCCAGCTTTCCCCTTGTGATCAGCTGGGAGCACTGGTCTCCCCTGGGCCCAGGCATTTAAACCATGGCGACAAGGCAGAACACACGCTGGATCCAGAACCTCACACCGAACACTACCTACGGATATTTACTTTAATAACTGAGAGCAAAGAGAACCTTTTTCCAAATGAAGTCTTCCTTCAGAACAATTTTTCCCAAAATGTTTAATACAGTGATTTTCTGTTTCTAGAGAAGACCAGACTTTTCCCAGCCCTTCCCATGTGAACAGAAACACCACCCTCCAGCCCCCACCCAGAAGGCAAGCACCCGGACGGAGCGGCCCTGCAGCGCGGCACAGCCAGGGTTCGCCGGGGGCCGGGCCGGCCCTCTAGGAGCTGAGCACGATCAGCTTGTGGAGCTGGTACAGGAAGGTGTTCTTGCCCCTGCTGCTCTCCCGGTCTGCCTGCTCCATCACCAGCTTCGGATCGACCTGTCGGGGCAAAAGGGCCAGTCAGGCTCTGCAACAGCGCTTTTCTAGACATAAAGTAAAACAAAGTTATACACATACACAGACCTCATGTGTGTGTGTACAGAGAGCGCAGGAAGCATGCTTCAATTTCCCAAGAATATTTATAGAATGCTTCTCTACTCTCACAACACCAAATACTATATATGTGCTATGCCATCTTTCAATTTGTCTTAATGATACAGTAACCTTTACTCAGAAATCTCCCTCGCATTCTTTTATATAAACATTAACAGCAACTTCACAGAGGCATTAGAGCATGTGTAAGTTTTCTGAACGGCTTCCTAACTAAGTCTTGCTATTAGCTTCACACCCCCACGGAGGCTGTGGCAGAGGTGGCCGGCGCACCCTCCACATCCCTCCCCGTGGGCAGAGCTCGTGCAGGTGACAGAGCGGCTCCAGTGACCAGTGCTCAGCGCTCTAACAGGGGAACCCGGTCATGGGGCACATGGACAACAGGGACGTTGCAGCAGAAGTAACCGTCAGACCTGGAGTAGAAAACACCGTCTCCAGGGGCAGCGTCTCACTTCCCCTGCCAAAGGGATGAGGAACCAGTGCCCCAGTTGGTTTATTTATAAAGACAGCCTTGGCTCTAGGATTATTGCTATTCAATCACTAAGTCATGTCCGATTCTTTGCGACCCCATGGACTGCAGCACACAGGCTCCTCTGTCCTCCACTATTTCTCGGAGTTTGCTCAAAGTCACATCCATTAAGTCAGCAACGCCATCCAATCATCTCATCCTCTGCTGTCCCCTTCTTCTGCCCTCAATCATTCCCAGCATCAGGGTCTTTTCCAATGACTCAGCTCTTCAAATCAAGTGGCCACAGTATTAGAGGTTCAGCATCAGTCCTTCCAATAAATATTCAGGGTTGATTTCCTTTAGGATTGACTGGTTTGATCTCCTTGCTGTCCAACTACCTTCTCTAGCACAATTCAAAAGCATCAATTCTTTAGCACTCAGAAAGTCTGAGTGCTTCCTTAAGTCTCACATCCATACATGACTACTGGAAAAACCACAGCTTTAACTAGATGGACCTTTGCTGGCAAAGTGGTATCTCTGCTTTTTAATATGCTGTCTAGGTTTGTCATAGCTTTTCTTCCAAGGAGCAAGTGTCTTTTAATTTTGTGGTTGCAGTCACTGTCTGCAATGACTTTGGAGTCCAAGAAAATAAAGTCTCCCACTGTTTCCACTTTTCCTCCATCTATCTGCCATTTAGTGTTGGGACCAGATACCATGATCTTAGTTTTCTGAATGTTGAGTTTTAAATCAGATTCTTCACTCTCCTCTTTCACTTTCATTAAAAGGCTCTTTAGTTTTTCTTTGCCTTCTGCCATAAGGGTGGTGTCATTTGCATATCTGAGGTTGCTATTTCATATCTCGACAATTCAATCGACAATTGATTCCAGCTTGTGCTTTACCCATCCTAGCATTTCACATGATGGATTCTGCATGTGAGTTAACTAAGCAGGGTGACAATATATAGCTTTGACGTACTCCTTACCCAATCTGGAACAAGTCCGTTGTTCCATGTCCAGTTCTAACTGTTGCTTCTTAACCTGCGTACAGGTTTCTCAGGGGACAGATAGGGTGATCTGGTATTCCCATCTCTTTAAGAATTTTCCATAGTTTGTTGTGAAGTCAAAGGGCTTCCCTTGTGGTTCAGCTGGTAAAGAAGCTGGGTTTGACCCCTGGGTTGGGAAGATCTCCTGGAGAAGGGAAAGGCTACCCATTCCAGTATTCTGGCCTCGAGAATTCCATGGACTGTATAGTTCATGGAGTTGCAAAGAGTCAGACATGACTGAGTGACTTACACTTCACTTCACACAGTCAAAGGCTTTAGTGTAGTCAATGAAGTAGTAGATGTTTTCTGGAATTCCCCTTTTTCTATGATCCAACAGATGTTGGCAATTTGATCTCTGGTTCTTCTGCCTTTTCTAAATCTAGCTTGTGCATGTGGAAGTTCTTGGTTCACATACTGTTGAAGCCTAGTTTGGAGAATTTTGAACATTACTTTGCTAGCGTGTGAGATGAGTGCAATTGTGGGGTAGTTTGAGCATTTTTTGGCATTGTCTCTCTTTGGGACTGGAATGAAAACTGACCTTTTCCAGTCCTGTGGCCACTGCTGAGTTTTCCAAATTTGCTGGCATATTAAGTGCAGCGCTTTCACAACATCATCTTTTAGGATTTTAAATAGCTCAACTGGAATTCCATCATCTCCACTAGCTTTGTTTATAGTGATGCTTCCTAAGGCTCACATTTCCAGGATGTCTGGCTCTAGGTGAGTGATCACAGCATCATGGTCATTAAGATCTTTTTTGTACAGTTCTGTGTATTCCTGCTACCTCTTCTTAATATCTTCTGCTTCTGTTAGGTCCATACCATTTCTGTCCATTTATTGTGTCCATCTTTGCATGAAATGTTCCCTTCATATCTCGAATTTTCCTGACGAGATCTCTAGTCCTTCCCACTCTGTTGTTTTCCTCTATTTCTTTGCATTGTTCCCTTAAGAAGGCTTCCTAATCTCTCCTTGCTACTCTCTGGAACTGTGCAGTCAGTTGGGCATATCTTCCCCTTTCTTGTTTGCCTTTGATGTCTCTTCTTTTCTCTTGGCTCTAGGATTAGAGCTTAAAATTCCTCCCTAGGCTCCTTTCCTGAAATCACATTTTATTCTCTTCTCTAAATCTCATGGGCAGGAAATGTCATGGTGCCCAGTGTGGGCCCCGCCACACTTCATAAGCGCTGTGGGCCAAACCGTGTCGTCCAGACCCCCAGTGTAACAGTGTTAGGAGGCAGGCCTTTGGGCAGTAGTCGGGTTAGACAAGGTGAGAGGGAGGCTCTCACGATGGATCAGTGCCCTTGCAGGAAGAGACCCCAGAGAGCATGCCGCCCACTCTCTGCCACGCAAGGGCACAATGAGAAGGTGGATGTCTCCAAGTGGGAGGAAAGCCCTCGGCAGAACCCCGCCACGCCGGGACCCTCAGCACCCACGTCCAGCCTCTAACACTGTCACAAAATAAACTGCTGCTGCTGTTCCTGCCCAGTGGGTGGCACATCGTTAGGACAACCGGAGAAGACTAAAACAGCCACAGACGCACCCTGGGTGCTCGCCAGACATCCATGCCTGTTCTATCTAGAAGTAAAGGATGATTAGCCTGGGGTCTAACTTCTCGCATACAGTGTACTATCCAGAGGGCTTCCCGCCAATGCAGGAGACTCGAGTCCAATCCCTGGGTCAGGAAGACCCCTGGAAGAGAAATGGCAACCCACTCCAGTATCTTGCTGGGAAAACTCCATGGACAGAGCAGCCTGGAGGGCTACGGTTCATGGGGTTGCAAAGAGTCGGACGTGAATGAGTGACCGAGCGACGCCCTACGCAGCAGCGGCAGGCTGCCTGCAGCCCCGCCACATGACTGATAGCACTGCCCACCCCGCCTGCTCCACCCTGAGGCCCTCCTGCAGGCAGGAGGCCCGCACAGCCTCAGGCTTCTCGCTTACCTGATTCCACTCATATGGCTTCTCATGCCACTTGGGAACAACCTTCTCTCTTGGTTTCAACTGGCAGAACAGACTAAAATTTTAAAAAAGAGAGTTTAAGTCATCTTAATTGTATGTTCGTAACTGAAAACACTACTATGATATTTAAAAAGAGATTTAAATTCTATGTACTTTCTCTCAGAATTATAACTCCAGTAAGTTTTTTTAAAGGTCAAAATTTATGTAATTGTGATCAGAGAATATTTTAATGCACTATACATTCAAAAGGGTTTCCCTGATTGTTCAGTTGGTAAAGAATCTGCCTGCAATGCAGGAGACCCCGGTTCAATTCCTGGGTCGGGAAGATCCACTGGAGAAGGGATAGGCTACCCACTCCAGTATTCTTGGGCTTCCCTTGTGGCTCAGCTGGTAAAGAATCTGTCTGCAGTGCGGGAGACCTGGGTTTGATCCTGGGTTGGGAAGATCCCCTGGAGAAGGGCAAGGCTGCCCACTGCAGTATTCTGGCCTGGAGAATTCCATGGGGTCATAAGGAGTCAGACACAACTGAGTGACTGACTCTCACTTTCATGCATTCAGAAGCAGGGGAGAATGGCATGGCCTCTACGGCTGATCACTGTGCACTGTTCCCCTGGAACCAGCGCAGGCCACTCCATCACCCAACATCTCTGCGTCACTGAGTCAAGTTCTGGGAGCGTGTATACCATTTACTCTTAAGCAGCTGTGACAAGCTGGAAATGTCAAAAGGCTGATAGAGAATTCTAGCAATAAGAGAATAAAGAAGTTTGCAAATCTTCTTGCACCTCCGTCCTCCCCAACAACTATAAAACTAAACACGATTGTTCAAGGAACACATCTGAAGGCTCTGGATGTTAACCAAAAGCAAAGAAGTTCAGAAGCATTCATTCAAGAAAAACTGCTGAACTCCAGGCAGCAAGAGTGGAGTCTGCGGAGTTCGAGCCTGGGGCTGCTCCCACCCACCCTCATGCCCACCCTAGCAGCTCACCCTGCTCCCAGCCACACTCACACCCTCCCCAGCAGCTCGACCTGGCGCTCCAGGGCTCCAGGGGAGCTGGCCATGAGAACAGGCTTCCTCACGGCCAGACTGACTTCACTTGGTCTGAAGCAGAGGGTGAAGCCGCACGCCTGGCAGCACTGTCAGACGAGTGCAGGAGGAAATAAACAGAGAAAGCCCCCGCTCTGCGGGCCTCTGGCCTCGGGCCTGCTTGGGGCCAGCGCAGACCAGCAGACTCCCCGCAAATACCCGAGGGAGGCAGAGGCCAGCGGGGCTCCCAGACGACCCCTCAGTGATGGAGAAGCTGCACACACAGGTGCAGAGGAGCCCTACGAAGGCCCCAAGCCTGCCACAGGGCCCTGGGAAAAAATACAAGGCAGAGAAGAGTTTAACACTGCCTGAACTCTAGAGGTACTGCCAATCCACACACAGACCCACCAGCACAGGGCAGAAACCTCAGTGATTCAGGGGTCCAAGCACAACTTCTGATTCCTCAAAGGCTGAGCACTAAGCAATGCAGACACAAGGACAACCCCTAACCAGCCAAGCTGAAAAATAAAAGGAGAATTAAAAAAAAAAAACCACAAGTATCAATGGCCTTACAACATGGTAGGGAAACCCATTCTGCAGAATTCTGCAGGGAATAATCAAAATCCTACATATATACTACATTACCTAAAATACTTAATTTTTAGCAAAATATATGAGAAACAGGAACGTGTGACTCATACTCAGGAATAAAACAGAGAGCAGGCAACAGAAGCTGACTGAGTGGGCTCAGATGTGGGTTTAGCAGGTAAGACTTCAAAGAGGCCACTGCAAGCACATACAAAGAATTAAAGCAAACCATGTTTAAAGAAACAGAGGAAAACATGATGATAATGACTCAAAGGTAATCTCACTAAAAGTTTAAAACTATACACAAGAGCCAAAGAGAAATTTTAGAATTGAAAGGTACAATAACAGAAATGAAGTCCTTACAGGAGACCAGAATCCGTAGGAGTGAGACGGAAACAGAGAGTCAGTGAACTTAAGGACAGAGCAACAGACATCACCTAACTGAACAACAGGCAGGAGGAGGACGCAGAAGAATGCTCAGAGCCTCCGAGACCAGCGGGACGACTTCAGCTGTACACAAACACACGTGCGATGGGAGTCCCCAAGGAGAGAGCAGGAGTAGGGCAGAAAGGTTTCTAAAAATTCAAAGATGCAAATAGGTTATAAGTAAGAGGACAGGAAAAGATATGTCATGAAAACAGTAACCAAACCAAGCAGAATAGCTGTATCAGGCAAAATAGACTTTTAAACAAGAAGTATTATCAGAATAGAGATTTCATAATGATAAAAGAGCTAATACCTCAGGAAGATACAACAATTACAAATATAAACAAGTCTAACAGAGCCCCAAAAGACATAAAGGAAAACTGACAGAGTTGAGAAGAGAAATACTTCTCCTTCAATAATTAGAAATTTTAATATCCCAGTTTTGATTTTCACAAAACTAGAAAGAAAATCAGCAAGCATAGTGAATCCTAGAACACCACCCACCATTGACCCACCCAGCATCTACAGAGAACCCCACCCAACAATGCATATATTCTTCTCAAGTGAACACAGAACACTTTCCAGGAAAGACTGTGTGCCAGGCCATAAAGCAAGTCTCGATACATTTTAAAAGAAATTATGAAAGACTGAAGTCATTCATTTCAGTATAAGACCTACAAAAAAAAAGACCTACAACAGAAATACATTATATATTAACAACTTAAAATATTTGGAAAATCTCAAAAAATATTTGAAAATTAAACAGTATGCTTCTAAATAATGCAAAGAAAAAATCACAAAGGAAACTAGAGAATACTTTTAAAAGAATTAAAATCAAAATACAACTGATCAAAAAGTACGGGATACAGCAAAAACAGTAATGGAGGGAATTTTACACATTTAAATGTAACAGAAAAGAAATTCTCAAAATAATAATCAAAGCTTCTAAGTTACGAAATTGGAAAAAGAGCAAGTTAGGCCCAAAGCAACCAGAAGCAAGGGAATAATTACAATGAGAGTAAACATCAATGAAACAGAAAAGATAAACATTAGGGGGGAAAATCAACGAAACCAAAAGTTAGTTCTTTGAAGAGATCAATAGAATTGATAAACTTTAGATAAGCTAACCAAGAAAAAAGAGAGACGACACACACAAAAACCCAAAGCAAGAAAGGGGGACGTGATTGCCGACTGCACAGAGCAAAGGGCTCCTGGAGAAGATTCTGAACAACTGCATGCCAACTAGTTCATTTAAATGAACTGAACAAAATTCTTAGGACACAAATTATCAAAACTGACTTAAAAAGAAATAGAAAATCTGAATCAACCTAAAACACAAGAAATTGAAGTAGTAATTTAAAATCTCCCCACAAAGTCCAAGTTCAGATATTTCATTGGTAAACTCTATCAAATATTTAAAGAGATAATATCAATCCTATACAAACTCTTTCTGAAAACAGAGTGTCAGGAAACACTTCCTAACTCGTTCTGTGAAGCCAGTGCCACTCTGATACCAAATCCAACAAAGAAATCACTGGAAACTTCAGACCAGTGAGTGACCCTCATAAACAGAGAGGGAAAACCCTAACAACAGAAACAGCAAAAGAGTTATCAAAAGAATTACACACTATGTGGAATTCATCCCAAGAATGCAAACCTAGTTATAACACCCAAAAGGCAATTAATATAATACACTATATAAACTTTAAAAACACACTTTTCTCACAGACACAAGAAAGGCATCGGCACAATGTGACACTGTTCCCCGATAAAAGCTGCCAGCAAACTGGGAACAGAAAGGCACTCCTTCAACCTGACAGAGCGCCTCTACAGAAAGCGTGCAGCTAGCAGCACCACACTCAGCGAGTGACAAGGCTTCTTCCTAAAACTGGGACCGAGGCAAGGACACGTGCTCTCATCACCTCTGTTTAACAACATGCTGAGGGTTCTAACCAGCGAATAAAACGGAGAAAAAAATTAAGAGCATACAGATTGGAAAGGAAGAAGTAAAACTGTCTTTACTCATAGATATAATCCTGTATGTAGGAAATCCTAAAGAATATACAAGAACGACTAGCACTATTTAATAAGGTCACAGGATATAAGACCAGTGTATAAAAATCAACTGTTCATTTGTAGCAATGAATAATGCAAAAATAAAGAAAATTATTTAAACTCACAATAGCATCAAAAAAACAAAAATATTTAGAAATAATTTTAAAAGTGCAAGCCCTGCACGCTGAAAGCCATAGAAGCGCTGAGTGAAGCTGAGGGTCTGACGGACGTCCCACCCGGGTGACCCAGCAGCTCGGCACTGCCAAGATGGCGGCTCTCCTCACGCTCACCAGTGAAGCTGAGGGTCTAACGGACGTCCCACCCGGGTGACCCGGCGGCTCAGCACTGCCAAGATGGCGGCTCTCCTCACGCTCACCAGTGAAGCTGAGGGTCTAACGGACGTCCCACCCGGGTGACCCGGCGGCTCAGCACTGCCAAGATGGCGGCTCTCCTCACGCTCACCAGTGAAGCTGAGGGTCTAACTGGACGTCCCACCCGGGTGACCCAGCAGCTCGGCACTGCCAAGATGGCGGCTCTCCTCACGCTCACCAGTGAAGCTGAGGGTCTAACGGACGTCCCACCCGGGTGACCCGGCGGCTCAGCACTGCCAAGATGGCGGCTCTCCTCACGCTCACCAGTGAAGCTGAGGGTCTGACGGACGTCCCACCCGGGTGTGGGCCCAGCGGCTCGGCACTGCCAAGATGGCGGCTCTCCTCACGCTCACCAGTGAAGCTGAGGGTCTAACTGGACGTCCCACCCGGGTGACCCAGCAGCTCGGCACTGCCAAGATGGCGGCTCTCCTCACGCTCACCAGTGAAGCTGAGGGTCTAACGGACGTCCCACCCGGGTGTGGGCCCAGCGGCTCAGCACTGCCAAGATGGCAGCTCTCCTCACGCTCACCAGTGAAGCTGAGGGTCTGACGGACGTCCCACCCGGGTGTGGGCCCAGCGGCTCGGCACTGCCAAGATGGCGGCTCTCCTCACGCTCACCAGTGAAGCTGAGGGTCTAACGGACGTCCCACCCGGGTGACCCGGCGGCTCAGCACTGCCAAGATGGCGGCTCTCCTCACGCTCACCAGTGAAGCTGAGGGTCTAACGGACGTCCCACCCGGGTGTGGGCCCAGCGGCTCGGCACTGCCAAGATGGCGGCTCTCCTCACGCTCACCAGTGAAGCTGAGGGTCTAACTGGACGTCCCACCCGGGTGTGGGCCCAGCGGCTCGGCACTGCCAAGATGGCGGCTCTCCTCACGCTCACCAGTGAAGCTGAGGGTCTAACGGACGTCCCACCCGGGTGTGGGCCCAGCGGCTCGGCACTGCCAAGATGGCGGCTCTCCTCACGCTCACCAGTGAAGCTGAGGGTCTAACTGGACGTCCCACCCGGGTGACCCAGCAGCTCGGCACTGCCAAGATGGCGGCTCTCCTCACGCTCACCAGTGAAGCTGAGGGTCTAACGGACGTCCCACCCGGGTGTGGGCCCAGCGGCTCAGCACTGCCAAGATGGCAGCTCTCCTCACGCTCACCAGTGAAGCTGAGGGTCTGACGGACGTCCCACCCGGGTGTGGGCCCAGCGGCTCGGCACTGCCAAGATGGCGGCTCTCCTCACACTCGTCTACAGACTCAACACAATCCCCATCACGACTTCTGCAAGGTATATTGCAGACACTGACAAGCTGATCCTAAATCTTATATGGAAAGGAAAAGGATCTAGAAAAGTAAAAGCAACGTTGAAAAAAAAACCAAAATAACAAGGACTAACACTATTCAATTTCAGGATTACTATTAAAAACAGACATAAGTCAACAGAACAAAATAGGAAGTTCATAAATAAACCTAAAATGGCCAATTTATTTTTGACAGGTCTCAAGGTAATTCAATGAGGGAAAAGAAAGATCTTCAGCAAATGTTATAACATATAATATGATGTTATGATGCTATAACATATAACAACTCGATGTTCATATGTGAGAAAACAAACTTCAAAGACTCTTACATGGCATATCACATTCAAATATCATCTCATAATGGATCAAAAACCTAAATACAAGAAGGTGGTGCAGCGGTAAAGAACTGCTTGCTAATGCAGGAGACACAAGAGACACAGGTTCAATCCCTGGGTCAGGAAGATGCCCTGGAGAAGGAAATGGCAACCCACTGCAGTTTTCTTGCCTGGAAAATTCCACGGACAGAGAGCCTGTCCATGAGGTCACACAGAGCTAGACACAACTGAGCACAAATATAAGAGAGGAAAACAGGAGAAAACTTTTATGACCTTGGATATAACACCAAAAGCATACACCACACCAAAGATGAAGTAGATATCATCAAAATTAAATCTGTGTGTTCTTCAGAATATGAAAATAAAACTGAAAATGAAAAGACAAACTACATGATGGGGAAAGTATCTGCAATTTACATATTCATAAGAGACTTTCAGCAAGTATTTAGAAAGAATGTCTACAACTCAGTAATAAGATGACAATCAACCCAATTAAAAAACAGGTGAAAGGTCTGAAGTATCAATAACCTCAGACATGCAGATGATAACCACCCTTATGGCAGAAAGCAAACAGGAACTAAAGAGCCTCTTAATGAAGGTGAAAAAGGAGAGTGAAAAAGCTGGCTTAAAGCTCAACATTCAAAAAACAAAGATTGTGGCATCGGGTTCCATCACTTCATGGCAAATAGATGGGGAAACAATGGAAACAGTGACCAACTTTATTTTTTGGGGTTCCAAAATTACTGCAGATGGTGACTGTAGCCACGAAATTAAAAGACGCTTGCTCCTTGAAAGAAAAGCTATGATCAATCTAGACAGTACACTAAAAAGCAGAGACACTGCCGACAAAGGTCTACCTTGTCAAAGCTATGGTTCTTCCAGTAGTCATGAATGGACGTGAGTTGGACCATAAAGAAAGCTGAGTGCCGAAGAATTGATGCTTTTGAACTGTGGTGGTGGTGAAGACTCTTGAGAGTCCCTTGGACTGCAAAGAAATCAAACCAGTCAATCCTAAAGGAAATTAATCCTGAACATTCCTTAGAAGAACTGATGCTGAAGCTCCAATACCTGATGCAAAGAACTGACTCATTGGAAAAGACCCTGAGCTGGGAAAGATTGAAGGCAGGAGGAGAAGGGGACAACAGATGATGAGATGGTTGGATGGCATCACCAACTTGATGGACATGAGCTTGAGCATGCTCTGGGAGTTGGTAATAGACAGGGAAGCCTGGTATGCTGCAGTCCATGGGGTCACAAAGAGTTGGACACGACTGACAGACTGAATTGCACTGTAAGGCCACGAGATTAACTACAATAAAAAACTCACCATCAAGTGCAGGCAAGGATGTGGAGAAAAGGGAACGGTCATACGTTGCTGGTGGGAATGTGATATGGGAGTCACCTTGAAAACCAGTTTGTCCATTTCTTAAAAAATTAACAAATTTACCATACAACCTACCACTCCACTGCTAGGTATCTACCCAAGAGAGAAGAAGATACACGTCCATTCAAAGACTACGTGCCTTCCCAGAGCAGCATTACTCAAAACAGCCTAATACTGGAAACCACCCAAGCATTTCAACAACTGCTGAATGGGAAGACGAAACACGACATACCCACACAGTGGGGTATGGGTCACCAAGGACAAACACATTACAACACGGATGAACCTCAAACATACTCTGCTAAACAAATGAAGCCATATTTTTAAAATCATTAGGTCAATTATAAAAAATTTTCAGAGAAGACAAATCTATGGAGACCATAAGAGGCCAGGGGTTGCCTGGAGTTCGGGTGGGGACAGGAGCTGCTGACAAATGGATGGGAAGGACTGGTGATTCTAAAAACAGCTTTTTTGAGGTCATTATATACTTTAATTGATTCTAAGTATGCAATTTAATAATTTTAGTAGATTTACAGCATTGTGACTATCACCACAATTCTGTTATAAGGTTATTTGTAAGTCAGCTTTGGGGATGATAGAACGTTGTAGCAGAGTTGTGCTGTGCTGAGCACAACTCCACACACTCACTGAAAACCACTGAACTGCACCCAAACTCCCTCCCCCCATGCGGAGCCCAGCAAGTCAGGATACGGCTGCCTGCCTTGGGGTGGGGGGTGCCCTCAGGACACGCAGGGCGGTGCCTGGTCCCTCCGGACAAGCCGTGGTCTTGCTGCTGGGAGCACAGCTGCATCAGGACGGGGCCTGCGACGCCGTGGAGACTTGCCGCGCCCCCCATGTGGATCTTGCTGGGTCTCCTTCAGTTTTAGGAGCACTTCTAATGTTTTACAACACGCGGTCCCTCCGGAGCTGGTCACGCGCTGCACCCAGCGGGTGCACACCCTGAGGTGACCTCTGTGCTGTGCGTGTGTGAACTTCAACATGAAGCGCACCTCAGCCTCCGTCACAGTCACAAAGGCAGCGCTAAGTGTCTGTCGCCCTGCTGCTCACTGTCAGCTGGCTCCCGGCAGGCCAGGCCACTGCCCCGGGCCGGGCAGGGCCTGCAGCCAGCCCAGGAGAGAGGCTGAGCGCGGCTGGCGGGACCCAACGTGCCCAGGGGCTGTGTCTGCTCCTCCCCACTGTGTCCCCCGCCTCAGCCTCCTCTGAGCCGTCCAGGCTGGCCTGGCCTCACGGGCTGCCCCAGTCAGGGCCCTGGTGGCAGGGCTTCTGGCTGGGCTCGGTCACCGGGGAGTCCAGCAAGCCAGAGCCAGCTGGGAAGCGCCAGAGAGGGGCCCAGTTCCTGTGAGGTGGTCCTCGAGCCTGGGCCCCTCATCTCTCTGCCCTCAAGGCGCCCACCATGGGCTCCTCTGCCCTGCCCGTGCCATCTGGAGGGCTCTCTGTATTACGCTGTTTTCAAACCGCCCCGCTTCCTGCCTGGCTCCCAGTGGACACCCAGGACATAGCCCGCTGCTCCCAGGAAGCTGAGGCCTCTGTCCTCAGTGGAGACACGTCCCCACTTCAGAGGCTTAACCCAGCACGTGCATTGTGTCACAGACAGTGCAAGACACTCACAGTCCAGACGGCTGAGAAAGAAGCCCGCGTGGCCACACAGCTCACCCTAAGAGTTTCTGCCGACTGTTGTCCTGTAACTGCGCGATCCTTTCCGGTCCAAGACACTTGGATCCATTCGGTCCATCACACACTAGCTTGTTGACAGCAGCTCTGAGAATATTAATCTGTAAATAAACAGCAACATACATGCTCACGTGGTTCTACTATGACTGAATCTCAATCTTCATTTAAATAATTCATAAACATTTGATTTAGTATTTTCACAATTATCGTCAGTATGGTTTTGGTTTCTGGAACAAATTATCAAAGCAAAAATAACACCGGTAAAGTGAAAGCTGTATCAGACTCTTGACAACCCCATGGACTGTAGCCCACCAGGCTTCTCTGTCCATGGGATTTCCAGGCAAAAATATTGGAGTGGATTGCCATTTCCTTCTCCAGGAGATCTTCCTGACCCAGGGATCGAACCCGGGTCTCCTGCATTGCAGGCAGATTCTTTACTGTCTGAGCCCCCAACTATCATGATTTAAGAAATAATGACAAAAGGAAAAAAAAACAGCAAGGAAGGCTCAGGCTTTTCAGTGTAAGCATACTCTTTAAACTTCTGTCCTAGAATATAACAGTTCAGCCCGTGGGCTACACTGTTCAAAACCTACTTGCATCTTATACACAGGAAGCCCCTATATCTGTGGATTCAACAAATCTTGGATCAAAAACATTCAGAAAAAAAAAAAACCCACAAAGTTCCCAAAAGCAGAACTTGAATTTACTGTGCACTGGCAACTATTTACACTGTGTTAGATGTATTTACACTGTGTTAGATGTATTAGGTAATCTAGAGACAATTTAAAGTACTGGATTGGCTGAGAGGCTCCCTAGGGTTGTTTATTTATGGCTGCGCTGGGCCTTCATTGCTGCTTGCAGGCTCTCTCTTGTTGCGGGTGCGGGGGCCGCAGCAGGGGGGGGGGGGGGGCGGGGCTCGCGGGACTGTTTGCTGCGATGCCCAGGCTTCTCGCTGCCGTGCTTCTCTCGCTGTGGAGCTCAGGTTCCAGCCGCTGCAGCACGTGGGCTCCGTCGGCTGCCACGAGAGCTGAGTTGCTCCGAGGCATGTGGGATGTTCCCAGGTCAGGGACTGAACCTGAGTCCCCTGCACTGACCGAGCGATTCTTAGCCACTGCGCCACCAGGTAAGTCCTTTTGTTTTTTAAATAAAAATAAATGACACCTTTTTCATTTTCACCAAGAACTTCGTTCAGTGTATTCACTGTTTTGTTCCACTACCTTCTGTGATTTTTCAGGCAACTTCATAACTCTGTCTTTCCAAAAACTTTTTATCTTTTTGAGAAAAGAACTGTTTCAGGTGCCTTTTACAGTCTTCAAGGGAACTGAAATTCTTCCCATTAAAAGAATTCTGTAAAGACCAAAATAAACAGACATCCAAAGATTCGATGTCTGCTGAATACAGTGGATGAACTAGAGTTTCCCAGCCAAGCTGTAAGAGCTTTTGCTCGGCCATTAAAGAAACATACTGTCTGTGTTATCATGATGGAAGATTACGTGTTTTCTGTTGACTAATTCTGGATGCTTTCATCAAGTGCTGCCTTCCATTAGTCTAACTGGAACTAGTACTTGTTGAAATTGTTTGGTTTTCCAAAGGGAGCTCATAATAGAGGAAGCCCATCCAACTCCACCATAAACACACATCGCCTTCTTTGGATGAAGACCAGGCTTTGGTGTGGTTGGTGATGGTTCATTTCACTTGCCCCACAATCCTTTCTGTTCCACATTAATACACAGGATTCACTTTTCAGAGCCCATCACAACTTGTTTTAAAAACAGAATGTTTTTGTTATGTCTAAGTAAAGAATCATATGCAGTAATACAATCAAGAAGGTTGTCTTCACTTATGTGGAACTCAAATACCATAGGAATTAACATAACCAAGCTGGTGCAAATAACTTTCAATGCTTGATTTGGATATTTTGAGTCTGTCAGCTATCTCCTGCATCGTATTACATTGATTATTCTCCATTAAGGTCTCAATTTGATCACTATCAACTTCAACTGATCTACCTGACCACGGAGCATCATCCAGTCACAAATCTCCAGCATGAAACTTCGCAGACCACTTCTAACACATTCAATCAGTCACAGCACCTTCTCCATATGCTGCACAAGTTCTGTGTGCATTTCAGTTGCATTTACCTTTCTCAAAATCAAGCATAATGCACCAAAAATGTTGCTTTCTTTTCCATCTTCAGTATTAAAACGGCTACACAAAAATTAACCAATTTTGATAAGCTTTTTTTAAAAATGCATGCTGATATTGACAGCTGTCACAACACAACCTAACAAAATTGTTTCAGATAAAGTTAAAGACAACTAACTGCTATTGGAGCCACCTTAGAGAAAAAACTAAATGAACTTTTGCGTCCCTCAACCCCCCATGGCCCACCAGTCACAGCCAAGGAATTGACCTGGGTGCCACACTGTTAACTAGACACCAGGCTCCGTGTGGATCTGACTGGTGTCCTCTTCCCATTCCTGGACCCAATCCATGGCACCTGCAGTCCCGTCTCCCCAGCCTCCTCCTGTCCTGGGAAGATTCTCAGGCTTCTCCTGTCTTTTGAGACCTTGACAGTTCTGAGGAGTCAGGTGTCTTGGGAGACGCCCCCTAGTTTGGGCTTACGTGATGCTTCTCGCATGACTAGGTTGGGCTGGTGAATTTGGGGGAGAGGCCCAGAGATGGGGGCCATTCTCACTCCATCACATCAGGATGTGTGTGCCATCACCATGACGGGTCACTGGGGATGCTGGCCTTGGCCACTGAGCCCAGACAGTGTCTGCCAGACTTAGTGAAAGCCGGTCAGTAAGTCTAGTCCACTCCTAAAGCAGGGGAAGGGGAGGTTTGAGCTTCACCTCTCGAGTGCTGTTGGGAATTCTTCAGGGCAGAAGATTGGTCTCTTCTCCTCATTTGTTTATTCAATCACTGGTTTATATTCCCGCACACTCTAGGGTTATCATCCAACACAACACCGTTTATTCTGTGGCTCTAACTGCTCTGGCTCTGCACGGGCACGCCCATGGCCCTCTGACCAGCCGCGCCCATTTCCTGAGCACGTCTTCACTTCCCGGCACTACAAGGAGCTCCAGGCGCACGTACTTCCTCTGCCCATTTCTCTGTGGAGTCCTGGATCCTCTTATTGGAAAATCCTATCAGAAACTACCGTCGGGGCCCTGGGTTTGTTCATGGCTGGCTACTGGCTGCCCTTGTTTCTGGCTCTCAGACGGCTGGGGAATCCAGGCACATGTTTGAGATTACAGATGCACATGTAACTTGCTTGCACGCAGGGAGTTAAACACGAATGCCCACTGAACTGTGCCTGTCGGTCATCCTGCTTCACAGGGTGTGTCCTGCCTTCCTCTCCTGCCTGCCTCCAGGTCCTGTCCCACAGTAAGGAACCGGTGCCCACATCCCTCCCTCACCCGTTCAACTCCAGTAACATGCTGAGCCATTTCAGAACTTGCACTCCTTGAGAACAACTTTACCAAGGAAAAACAGTGTTTATGTGCATTTTCTTTTCATCTATAGCCTTACTGTTTCCAGGCAAGCACGGTTTCCCAAAATTCCTTGTTCCCTTACCTGCCATGATGCGATTATCCCCCAAACCCTAGTTGGCGTGTGTACGGGCACACGAGCTCAGCCACTCAGTCGTGTCCGAGTCTCTGCGACCCCACGGATTGTGGCCCGCCAGGCTCCTCTGTCCATGGGATTCTCCAGACAAGAATACTGGAGTGGGTTGCCACGCCCTTCTCCAGGGAACCTCCCTGACCCTGGGATGGAGCCCACGACACTTACATCTCCGGCACCTGCAGGTGGGTTCTTTACCACTGAGCCAACCTTTCTGATCCTCATAGAGCTCAGTACAGGTCTGTGAAAAGGTTCTCATCACAGAGAGACCAGAGGTATAAGCCTGTGTCAACAGCACCAGGTCAGACACGGCATGTTGAACGACTGTACAAGCAAAACCGGAGTGAGGAGGAGCTCCCACGCCATGATGACCGTGGCCTTACCTCCATGACATCCTCCACGCTGAACTGCACGTCAAACGCAAGCTCCATGTCATGCTCTGGCAGGATTGGGGCCCCTGTGGTCAGACTGCACCCCAGGCCACACAGGACGCCAGTATAGCATTTGCCATCTTGATCAACTCTACATGAAAAGTTTTGAGAAAAGTTAATTGTTAAGCTACTCGGTTTTTTGTTTTCAATAGGTAACTTGAGCTTATTTTATATATATGCACATATATATAATATTTATTTATTGAAGTATAGTTGATTTATAATGTCATGTTAGTTTTAGGGGTATGGCGCAGTGACTCAGGTATACACACACACACATAAACACCTGAATATATGGATATATAGAATATATCTATTCCTCTTTAGATTCTTTTCCCTTACAGGTCATTAAAGAACTGCTGCGCCGAGTTCCCTGTGCTGCTATGTAATCTCCTGTTGCTCTCCGTTTTGCATCTAGGAGTATGATGTGTTGATCCCTCCCGCCTGATTTATTGCTCCCCCTCCTTTCCCCTTAACGCTTGTTTCCTGTGTCTGTAAGTCTATTTCTGTTTTGTAAATAAGTGATATATTTCTCCATCTATTTGTGTCCTCTTTGATTTCTTTCATCAGTGTTTTACAGTTTTCTATATATAGGTCTTTTGTTTCTTCAGGTAGATTTATTCCTAAGTATTTTATTCTTTTCCTTGCAGTGGTGAATGGAATTGTTTCCTTAATTTCTCTGTTTTCTAATTTTTAGTGTATAGGAATGCAAGGATTTCAGTGTGTTAATTTTATATCCTGCAACTTTACTATATTCATTAGCTCTAAGTAATTTTCTGGTGGTGTCTTTGGGCTTTTCTATGTAGAGGATCATGTCATCTGCAAACAGTAAGAGTTTCACTTCTTTTCCAACCTGGATTCCTTTTCTGTCTTTTTCTTCTCTGATTGCTGTGGCTAAAACTTCCAAAACTATGTTGAATAGCAGCAGTGAGAGTGGGCACCCTTGTCTTGTTCCTGACTTTAGGGGAAATGCTTTCAATTTATCACCATTGAGGATCATGTTTGCTGTGGGTTTATCATATATGGCTTTTATTATGTTGAGGTATGTTCCTTCTATGCCTGCTTTCTGGAGAGTTTTTCTCATAAATGGATGTTGAATTTTGTCAAAGGCTTTCTCTGCATCTATTGAGATAATCATATGGCTTTTATCTTTCAATTTGTTAATGTGGTGTATCACAATGATTGATTTGCAAATACTGAAGAATCCTTGCATCCCTGGGATAAAGTCCACTTGGTCATGATGTATGATCTTTTTAACATGTTGTTTGATTCTGTTTACTAGAATTTTGTCGAGGATTTCTGCATCTATGTTCATCAGTGATATTGGCCTGTATAGTTTTCTTTTTTTAAGGCCTCTTTGTCTGGTTTTGATATTAGGGTGATGGTGGCCTCATAGAATGAGTTTGGAAGTTTACCTTCCTCTGCAATTTTCTGAAAGAGTTTGAGTAGGACTGGTGTTAGCTCTTCTCTAAATTTTTGGTAGAATTCACCTTGAAGCCATCTGGTCCTGGGCTTTTGTCTGTTGGAAGATTTTTCATTCCAGTTTTGATTTCCATGCTTGTGATGGGTCTGTTAAGGTTTTCTATTTCTTCCTGGTTCAGTTTTGGAAGGTTATACTTTTCTAAGAATTCATCCATTTCTTCCGAGTTGTCCATGTTATTGTCATATAGTTGCTGATAGTAGTCTCTTACGATCCTTTGTATTTCTGTGTTGCCTGTTGTGATTTCTCCTTTTACACTTCTAATTTTGCTGATTTGATTCTTCTCCCTTTTTTTCTTGATGAGTCCGGCTAATGGTTTGTCTATTTTATTATCTTCTCAAAGAGCCAGCTTTTAGTTTTGTTGATGTTTGCTACAGTCTCCTTTGTTTCTTTTTCACTTATTTCTGCCCTAATTTTTATGATTTCTTTCCTTCTACTAACTGTGGGGTTCTTCATTTCTTCTTTTTCTAGTTGCTTTAGCTGTAAAGTTAGGTTATATGATTTTTTTCCTTGTTTCTTGAGGTAAGCTTGGATTGCTATCAACCTTCCCCTTAGCACTGCTTTTATTGAACCCATAGATTTTGGGTTGTCGTGTTTTCATTTTCATTCATTTCTATGCATATTTTGATTTTTTTAAATTTCTTCTGTGATTTGTTGGTTATTCAGAAGCATGTTGTTTAGCCTCCATATGTTTGGATTTTTAATAGGTTTTTTTTCCCTGTAGTTGACATCTAATCTTACCACATTGTGATCAGAAAAGATGCTTGAAATGATTTCGAATTTTTTTGAATTTACCAAGGCTAGATTTATGGGCCAGGATGTGATCTATCCTGGAGAATGTTCCGTGTGCACTTGAGAAAAAGGTGAAATTGATTGTTCTGGGGTGAAATGTCCTATAGATATCAATTGGGTCTAACTAGTCCATTGTATCATTTAGTTTGTGTTTCCTTGCTAATTTTCTGTTTGGTTGATCTATCCATAGGTGTGACTGGGGCATTAAAGTCTCCCACAATTATTGTGTTACTGTTAATTTCCCCTTTCATACTTGCTAGCATTTGCCTTACATATTGCGGTGCTCCTATGTTGGGTGCATATATATTTGTAATTGTTATAGCTTCTTCTTGGATTGATCCTTTGATCATTATGTAGTGTCCTTTGTCTCTTTTCACAGCCTTTATTTCAAAGTCTATTTTATCTGACATGAGCATTGCTATTCCTGCTTTCTTTTGGTCTCCATTTGCATGAAATATCTTCTTCCAGCCCTTCACTTTCAGTCTGTATGTGTCCCTTGGTTTGAGGTGGGTCTCTTGCAGACAGCATATGTAGGGCTCTTGTTTTTGTATCCATTCAGCCAGCCTTTGTCTTTTGGTTGGGGCATTCAAAGCATTTACATTTAAGGTAATTATTGATAAGTATGATCCCACTGCCATTTACTTTGTTGTTTTGGGTTCGAGTTTATACACCTTTTCTGTGTTTCCTGTCTAGAGAAGATCCTTTAGCATTTGTTGAAGAGCTGGTTTGGTGGTGCTGAATTCTCTCAGCTTTTGCTTATCTGTAAAGCTTTTGAATTCTCCTTCATATCTGACTGAGATCCTTGCTGGGTACAGTAATCTGGGTTGTAGGTTATTCTTTTTCATTACTTTAAGTATGTCCTGCCATTCCCTTCTGGCCTGAAGGGTTTCTATTGATAGATCAGCTGTTATCCTTATGGGGATCCCCTTGTGTGTTATTTGTTGTTTCTCCCTTGCTGCTTTTAATATTTGCTCTTTGTGTTTGATCTTCGTTAATTTGATTAATATGTGTCTTGGGGTGTTTCACCTCAGGTTTATCCTGTTTGGGACTCTCTGGGTTTCTTGGACTTGGGTGGCTATTTCCTTCCCCATTTTAGTTTTCAACTATTATCTCCTCAAGTATTTTCTCATGCCCTGTCTTCTTCTTCTGGGACTCCTATGATTCAAATGTTGGGGTGTTTAACATTGTCCCAGAGGTTTCTGAGGTTGTCCTCACTTTTCTTTTTTCCTCTCTGCCTCATTTATTTCCACTATTCTATCTTCCACCTCACTTATCCTATCTTCTGCCTCAGTTATTCTTCTGTTGGTTCCCTCCAAAGTGCTTTTTATCTCAGTTATTGAATTATTCATTACTGACTTTTCTATTTCTTCAAGGTCCTTGTTAAACATTTCTTGCATCTTCTTAATCCTTGTCTCTAGTCTACTTACCTGTAACTCCATTTTGTTTTCAAGATTTTGGATCATTTTTACTATTATTATTCTGAATTCTTTTTCAGGTAGACTCCCTATCTCCTCTTTGGTTTGGTTTGGTGGCCTTTACCTGCTGAATATTTCTCTACCTTTTCATTTTATTTTAATTGCTGTTTGGGGTGGCCTTTCTGTAGGCTGGAAGTTTGTGGTTCCTCTTTATTGTGGAGCTTGCTCCCTGTGGGTGGGGTTGGACTAGAGGCTTGTCAAGGTTTCCTGGTTAGGGGAGCATTTATCTATGTTCTGGTGGGTGGAGTTGGATCTCTTCTCTCTGAAGTGTAATGAAGTATCCAGTAGTGAGTTTTGGGGTGTCTATGGGTTTGGCATGGCTTTGGGTAGCCTGTCTTTTAATGCTCAGGGCTGTGTTCCTACATTGCTTGAGGAGTGTGGTATGTCTTGCTCTGGAACTTGTTGGCTCTTGGGTGAAGCTTGGTTTCAGTGTAGGTATGGAGGCTTTTGGATGAGCTCTATTAATGTTCCCTGGAATCAGGAGCTCTCTGGTGTTCTCAAGTTTTGGAGTTAAGCCTCCTGCCTCTGGCTTTCAGTCTTATTCTTGCAGGAGCCTCAAGACTTCTCCATCCATACAGCACAGATGATAAAACATCTAGGTTAATGGTGAAAAAATTCTCCACAGCGAGGGACACCCAGAGAGGTTCACAGAGTTACAAGGAGAAGAGAAGAGGGAGGAGGGAGACAGAGGTGACCAGGAGGGGAGGAGGGGGAGTCAAAAATGGAAAGACAATCCAGCCAGTAATCAGTTCCCTAAGTGTTCTCCACAGCTCAGAACACACAGAGGGACTCACAGAGATAAGCAGAGAAGAGAAGGCGCAGGGAGGAGACAGAGGTGACCTGGGGGAGAAAGGGAGACTCAAAAGGGGAGAGGGCAATCAAGCCATTTATCACCCCCCTAAGTGAAAACGGATATTAAAGAATCGGTTCTTAAAGGTACAAAGTGTGTTAGTCGCTCAGTCGTGTCTGACTCTTTGCAACCCCATCGACTTTATGGTCCATGGAATTCTCTAGGCCAGAGTACTGGAGTGGGTAGCTTTTCCTTTCTCCAGGGGATCTTCCCAACCCAGGGAGTGAACCCAGGTCTCCTGCATTGCAGGAGGATTCTTTACCAGCTGAGCCACAATGGAAGCCCCAAAACACTGGAGTGGGGAGCCTATCCCTTCTCCAGGGGATCTTCCCAACCCAGGGATTCAACTAGAGTCGTCTCCTGCATTGCAGGTGGATTCTTTACCAACTGAGCTATCACAAAACTGATAACAAATATCAAAAAGCAAAGATTAAAAATCTAGAGGTTAACAATATTAAAAATACAAAACAAAATCAATCACAAAAATTATAAAA